CTATAAACTGCTACCAGGCTATTCACATTGTTTTATTAATTGTCTTTTTCACTTATCTAAATGTTTTGGAGATGTCTGTCTGTACCTACAGGTCTATCACAATGGTCAGTAAACTATGGCCTGTGGGTCAAATTTGGTCCATAGCTGTTTTTGCAAATAAATGTTTATTGGAACAGAACGCTATTCATCTTTTATGTACTGTCTATGATTGCCACAAGGGCAGACAGTCCAGTGGTCTGGTGAGAGAATGCATGGCCAACAAAGCCTAACATATTTATTACCAGCCCCCTTTGCAGAAAAAGTTTGCTAATTCTGGATCGATCTTATTTTTAGCATCTGCTCAATATCCCATCTAATGAATAGACCGTATTTTATTGATGGACATTTACATTACTCTTAATTTTTCCATTTTAGAAAAATGCTGTAAAATGTATGTACCAACGATTCTATTTTGAGAATTCTTTTGATACAGCACTGTATAAGCAACTTGAAAATGGTTCCTGCCACATAGTAGGAACTCAACAAATATCTGTTGACTAAATGCTTCGGAATGAATCATCAAGTACCAAAACATCAAAGCCTAATACTTTGTATAGTTCAGCCAACTGATTTTTGAATAACATACTAAAAAATACTTGGTGACTTCTGCTCTAGACAGCTCTCATTTATATAACATTGGGCTGCAAACCCAAAGGTCAGCAGTTTTAATCCACCAGCCCCTCGTGGGAGAAAGCTGAGGCATTTGCTTCTGTAAAGATTTACAGCCTTGGAGACAGTATGGGGGCAGTTCTATTCTGTCCTACGTGGCCCCTGTGAGTCAGAATCTCCTCAATGGCTGTATGTTTGGTTTTTCAGTTTTCTTTTATTAAAGCATACAATAGAGTAGAAGCCATTTTCCTCCTTTATAAACAAGATAATGTTCTGATGAGGAACAACACTGTAATACTTGAGAAATCTTCATAAAGACCTTCAATGACTATTTCAATTCTTAGTTTTATTCAATTATATTTTAAAGCTACCCAACAACTGTTATGTCCTATTCTTCCATCACAGAATCTATTTCTTTTAAGTCTTTAATACTTTTCAAAATCTTATTTGTGTATCTGCAAACTCTTCCTCATGGTGTTTATTTGTGAATGTAATTCATACACATGTATTTTTATTATGAGCTCAGCTTCAGCTTTACAGGACTTTTTCTTTTCCCTTCTGTGGGACCCCACATCTCTTATTCTGTCAAGTGACTCTATAGAGCAGTTCCCTCAAGGTATCAAGATTCCTACACTGGGATTTCACTAAACCTCTTGTGACAATTTCTTAGCTTGGGGTTCCAGCACACAAGAATGGCATAAATTGAGACCCAGATTCATGCATGATCCAGAATTCTTACTCAAGGCCCTGGAGAGTTAGCAAGATTCCTTGTTGCTTTTTAATGTCAGTGGGTAGAATTTTTCTAGGTCTTTTAATTGTGGCTAAGGAGATTTGGTGGTGTAGCAGTTAAAGTATCTTGCTGCTAACCAAAAGGTCAATGGTTTGAACCCACCAGCCACTCCATGGGAGAAAGATGAGGCAATTTGATTCTATACAGATTTACAGCTTTGGAAATGCTACGAGGGAGTTCTACTCTGTTCTAAAGGGTTGTTATGAGTTGGAATCACTCTATGGCAGTGGGTGTGGTTTTACTATGACGTTATAGCCTTGAAATCTCTTGGCTCTATGGATGGATCTTAGCTCCAGCTCTCCCAGTAAGTCTTGTGTGGCCATATATCCTGTTCCCAACTAGGGGGATGTTTTTGTTGCTCTGACTTTGAAAAATCTTCAGGGATTTTTTTTTTT